GTGCTCCCATTCGGTCTCACAAACGCGCCTGCAATATTTCAGCGCGTTATGAATGATATATTCAGGCCCTATATTGGGAAGTTCGTCCTTGTATATTTGGACGATATATTAATCTTTTCCAGGAACGCAGAAGAGCATTTAACCCATATCAGGCAGGTCCTCGAGGTCCTGAGGGCACAAAAGTTTTATGCACGTTTGCATAAATGCCACTTTAATCAGACTTCAATCAAGTACTTGGGACACATCATATCAGCAGATGGTATTCGCGTGAATCCCGAAAAGACACAGGTGGTCAATGATTGGCCAAGGCCCAAAGACGTGCGGGGAGTACGCCAGTTCTTGGGATTAGCAAACTATTTTCGGAAATTCATGCAGGGATACTCAAAGAGAGTAGCACCGCTAACAGATTTAACAAAAGCAGGCTACACTTTTGAGTGGACAGACGCTTGTGAGGAAGCATTCAACGGTGTGAAACAGGACCTGACACACGCACCAGTGTTGCGTATGCCGGTATTTGACAAACCTTTCGAGGTAGTGGCAGATGCCAGTGACACAGCAATAGGGGCTGTCCTACTACAAGACAAGCACCCTCTGGCATTTGAAAGCAGGAAGCTCAGTCAAGCAGAGCTTAATTATTCAGTAACAGAAAAAGAGCTTCTAGGTGTGGTGCATGCACTTCGGGTCTGGCGATGCTACCTAGAAGGCTCGGACATGGTGCTGGTGACAGACCATTGTCCAAACACATATTTAGATAGCCAGCAGACGTTGGGAAGGAGGCAGGTTCGCTGGTCAGAATATCTCCAGCAGTTTCGTTACATGTGGGAATACAGGCCAGGGCGACTGAATGTAGCAGACCCGATCAGTCGTATCCCGTGCGATTCTGCCGTGACAGCCCCCAGCGGTGCAAGGGACGGGGTTCAGACTGTGCATGCCTTGGGCCGCCCATCCGCTCCCCCAGGGTCACTCACTCCTCTGACTCAACGTCTGGCTGTAGGCTGCGCCCAGGACCCCGACTGTATCAGATTGCAGAAGTCAGGTGTCCTCACGCAGCACGAGGATCTTTGGTATCGTGGGTCAAAGATCTTCGTCCCTGGTACAGGCCCTATGGGGGATTCCGTTACAGATCTTAGGGCAGAAGTGTGCAGGCAGTGCCACGATTGCCCATACTCAGGTCACTTTGGTACCACTAAGACCGAGGCTCAAGTTAGCCGAACGTTTTGGTGGCCAAACATGCGTGAATATATCAGAAAGTACATACAGGCTTGCGATGTTTGCCAACGGAACAAGCATCGTGCAGAGAGACCTCAGGGTTTGCTGAGACCCCTTCCTATTCCGAATGCACGGTGGGAAAGTGTTTCAGTAGACTTCATCACTCAGTTACCCAGGACCAGAAGCGGCCACGACGCTATCTGTGTTTTTGTAGATAGGCTTACCAAGATGGTAAGAATGGCCCCCACAACATCAGACGTCGATGCGGTGGGGACCGCTAGACTATTTGTAGACCATGTGTTTAGACATCATGGTATGTGTGAGACACTGATATCAGACCGCGGAACACAGTTTACATCAAAGTTCTTCAAGGCCCTTATGGAGCAATTGGAGATCGACCAGGCGCTGAGTACAGCGTACCATCCGCAAACTGATGGTCAAACAGAGCGGATGAACAGGATTCTAGAAGATACGTTACGCCACTATGTTGGCCCACAGCAGGACCAGTGGGATTTATATCTCCCATTGGTAGAGTTTGCTATAAACAACTCAAAGCAGGGGAGCACAAAGTATACGCCCTTTTATCTAAACTACGGGCGACATCCAGTGACTCCCACAACCTTAGGCCTGCAGACTAGTCGGGAGCATCGTGAGGTACGATGCAGACTCAGGGATGAGCAGCAGACGGACCTTCAGGACAAATTGCCAGCGGTCAAGCAATTTGTAAATGAGATTGACATTGTGCTCAATGATGCAAAGCAACACCTCCAGGCGGCGCAGAACAGACAAAAACAGTATGCAGATGCGCGCAGGTCCGATGTTGCATATCAGGTTGGAGACATGGTGTTGCTCTCCAGCAAAAATATAAAACTCAGGCATCCGGGATCTAGGAAGCTACTTCCCTTGTGGTTGGGACCCTTCCGGATCATTGAACAGATCAACCCAGTGGCTTATAAGTTGGAGCTCCCCGATTCTATGCGAGCTCTCCATCCAGTATTTCATGTATCTGTATTGAGTCAATACAAATCAGGTCCAGGTCTCACTCGTCCCCCTCCTCCAGTGGAGTTGGATGGTGAGCTGGAATATGAGGTGGAACGGATTCTAGACAAAAGAATTAGTCAGTTCCGTTCCCGGCATAAGAAGATGCCACAATACCTCGTTAAATGGAAAGGCTTTGGCCATGAGCACAATACATGGGAGCCTTTACAGAACCTGACGCATTGCAATGAGCTCTTACAGGCCTACGAACTGCAGCAGCAGTCGTCTGGATCCGGCCCTGCGATTGGTCGCCGACGCAGAGGTGGTCTGAAAAGGACTCGAGTGACGACTTGAGTATTGTCAGGCTGACACACAGTGTGCATTTGCGTTCAGGATGCAGACGTAGCTGCAGGGTGGACCCCTCGCACTACGGGCCGTTCGGGTTCAGGTGGTGGTCGCGGCCGTGGCCGTGGCGCCCCTCGTCCGGCACCTTGATGCAGGCCTCGTTTGGGGATTTGGGTTGATACACAGACAGACTGTGACCGCCAGTTCTGTGGCCCTATGATTGGGATCCATCAGGTGTCAGCATCAGGCACCCGCCTCTTGTGGATGACCGTCTCTTTCTTTCCTGTGGACCCATGGTGGGGTTGTGTTGTACATGTCATGCCTTTGTTCGTGTGATATGTCTTCTTGTTTGTTTTGTGTATTCTCGACTCCGGGACGGAGTCTTCCCCGGCGGGGGACGCTTGTAATGCGCACCGCCTTTACAGTATATCACTTCACCAGTACTTTACCAGGAGAGTGCCTGGATTGGCAACGGCATCTCTCAACTATCCCATCCTTGGGAATATCAGGCAGGCCAGAGTACTGGAGTACTTGGCACTGTAACAGGACTATCCAGCAGTGGATGAGTCATCAGGGATCAGAGTGACCCGCCGGTCGCCAGCCGGTGTACTGCGAGAGATGGGTGCAGTACTTAATGGGTCTTGGAGTCTGGTCTGGGGTTCTTTTCCCCTCTTGGCGCCACCGCGCGCTACATTTACAATTGGGTAGCTGTAGTGGAACCGGTTTATGGGGACTGGTTTTCGAGGGCGAAAACTCCCCCAGGAGGGAGTACTGTTGTGGAATTACATGGGGGTAGTTACAACCAGGTTTTTTGGGGCCAATTTAGTGGCCTTGGCTGTTCATTTATGGAGTATTCTGGGTGATTGTGAGTTCCTGGGACTGGTGGAGGCTTGCTGGAACCGTAACATTACATTCTGCCTTTGTACATTGCATTTTCTGGTGTGCTGGCCACCCAATGTAGGGTGAGTCAGCTGCGCTGCGCGATAGTGGCAAAACAGCGCCTGTCTGACTTTCTGTAATCGCTTTCGGACCCCAGCACCCGCGCTTGCCGCCACCGAGCGCGAGGAGCTCTTTCCGCCGGACCTTCGGGTCCTGTGCCGCACCCCGGCGATCCATTGGATCACAAGGGCCCACCATTGCGAGCGAGAGGGGAAGCGAGCGCCCCGAGACGCCACACCGCGAGGTGTGAGAGGCTGCCCATCGGCAGCGACCGGGCGCCATCGGGAGGCGCCCATCGAGGCATCGAACCACCCCATCACCTACGGTGGTGCTGATCGGCCGGTACGCGCAACAAGTGGATGCTGTGAGGGAGTTGCGTCGTACGATTCTGGTGGAGACCTCTGTGGTGAGGTGCGAGATGGATATGAGCTTTCCTGGAACGCCCATGGAAGGAGCTGCTGTCATGGCGGCGTTGGCTGGCACTGTCGGACGGGGTGTGAGATTCCTGGGCGCTGGCATCCATTGGATTGGGGAGCTCCTGGTGACCCTACTCGGGTGGCTGGCTTGGATGCTTAATATTGATGCGACAAGGATGAGTGCGATTCTGGGAGCGGTCAGAATGGTCTATAATGGCCTGGCCCTCCTCATTTTGTTCAACATGACTGCCGCCATTTTCTGCGCAATGGGGCAACTTCTGCAGTACATGTATGTGCATTATTCTCCACGTGTGCAGTGCACCCTACTGTATTCTGCTGGCACTGAGCCGAAGGCCAACAGCCGACTCCAGAAGCAAAGTCCACGCACAGTCATTCTCGTTGGACTGCGAGCCCACGGCCTGGGGACGCCAGCGGCGCTATCGCGGCGGATGAAAATGTGGGGGACGCCGGTGTGAATGGCTCCTTGCTTGTCCGTCTTTGGTTTCTGCTCTCCATTTTCGGCGTCAGCCCACCTTAGATCAAGCCCACTGAGGAATCGCAGGCCTGCTGCACGGAGCTTCTTCGGGGATACCCCAAAGCCGTGGCATTGTATCGATGGTTCGACGCGTAGAGGAATAGCCACGTGCTTTTGGTGAAGGTGCTCGAAAGCGACAGTTGGGGATCCGGGGCTTTGATTTGGGCGTTATTCTCTTCGAGGCCCCCATTTCGCAATAGAACACGAGCGCTAAGGCAGTAGAATGCGCTGCGCCCTTTTGTGTAACGCCACAGTTTTCGAGAAGCTTATCATGGAGACCGACGTTCGGGGAGCTGCGGAGCCCGTTCTCTAGAAAATGGAGAGGATTGGCCTGCCGAAGCAAGTCAATGTCTGTTTCAGTCGAATTAGCAACACTGCAACAGAAACTATGCGCATGGAGTCATGAGCTCCACCCTGTTGAAACCTCAAGAGCTCTGCTTTGTCCTCTTTTGCAACTGCAGTCAACAGATCGGCTTCTGCCCTGTTGCCAAGCTTATGCACTTGTCTTTTCTATCCCAGATTGGAGCACAACTCTGGCCTGCTGTCCAACAGCGAAGTACTGCAGGTAGCAAACATTCATGGTGCGCTGGTGGGCGGTTCAAACGGGAGGCTAATTGCTTTGGATTACATGTACATGTGCGGGGGCAGGAAGTGCAGTTGCGCCTTGTGAAAACATTTCTGGGGTGCATTTGATATGATTATCCACAAAATTTGTTTGTTTGCGCCCCATCTGGCTGCAACTCCACCATTCACTTTGAATGAGATTATGGATAAGATAATTGCCACCTGAACGGGCATGAAACTCACAATGTCAACAGATGTCCAATCGAGCTGCAAATGAATATTCATGTTGATACCCGGTATCCACAAACTTCTTCCTCTATATTGTGTGTGGATGGATTTGCTGGATTTGTGGCCTACTGTTTTGCAACAGTCTCAACCCACCAGCTGAATGCACCCACAGTGCCTAATATGTGCAGGCTGTTGGTATTTATCGGTTTGATAAGTGCAATCAATACGAATTCGTGCTGCCTCAATGCAGTGTGAGGCATTGGTTCAGTTTTGCTGCTTGTGCATGGTTGAAATAATGTTGAGCGATGAGGGTGAATGTGTAACGGCGGTTTGGCTCCCACACAGATAAAGCTAAAAGCCGATTTGGAGAGGTATTTTTCATCCTGGTTTTGCTGGCACTTCATTGTACCGTATCTGACCACTGGACGATCAGCACTCTGGTAAATGAGTCGATCTGTCAGATGAATTGTACACATGTCCAACAATACCTGGCACTTTGATAGATGACCTGTTCCAGTAGCAGATGTGGCGTGACAGAAAAAGAAAACATTGCTTTTACAATTCCATGGAGTGCATTTGTCAGAAGGCATGACAATCCCTTGGCGCTTTGCAGGCAGGAACAGGTACAATAACCTCCATCAGTGCTTTTTTTGACCGTCATCGGACTGCATGTTTCCTGCGACAGGTTTTGCATGAAAGAGGTGCTGGAGATGCAAAAGTTGGCAAGGCCAGGGACTCTGAGATAGAGGTGATTGGGTACTTCGAAAGCTACTACTGTCATATCTAATGTTGAAGTTAACTGGAACACAGTCTGCAGACTGGTTTACTGCACAAATGATCGAGGCTGTTTCAACAAAGAAGAAGGTCCCCCTTCCCCCTCTTCCCTGAAGATTAGGATCTGCTGAGCATACAAAAGATATGATGCGGCGGTCTCCTTGTGCAACAGGAGAAGCATGCAACGAGTCGTTGCCAACGATGCTCCCCATCCATGCCACTCTTGTGACTGCTGTAAATGGACTGGATTTGTAGTACCAAGCCATCCAGGCCAGTCTCCTGAAGAGGAGCCTACAGCCTTGTTGGAGTTGCATAACAAGCTTTGTACCCTTAAAGGTGCAAGCATTGTGCAGCATCTTAGTTGCATACAGTAGATGTTGTTGCTGCAGTGAATGGACTGTTTGGGATCTGGTTAATGAGGCAAATGGGTTTAATGTCAAGGCAGAGTAGCACTTCCTTCAGTGTCTCAGAGTGGTTTTTATCAAGTGAGCCACTGCATTTCAGTGTGTTGTCAAGGTGTTGTTGTCGCCTTTGAATGTGAGTCCTCTTCATGCACTGTTCCAGTTCTGTTAGACATTTCCTTGGTGTAAATTTCAACAAGGTGTACTGTCAATGTGTATGTCAGTATGCCATGCACGTGTGGCATGCAGCCAGTTCCATTTGTTGCATGGGGCTAATGGGACATCCAGAGCTGTAATTGAGTGGTTGCACACTGTGCACACGCAGTATCTGCACGATCTTAGAGCAACATGGCCGTGCAGAACACATGATAAGGGCATCCAAGTGGTACTGCTGTCTTATGCTGAAATCGTAGTATGGATATAGTGTCCTGGCAGTCGCGAGCCTGTAGTGATCAATATGCCCTAAACAGCCCCCCAAAAGGTGCTAAAAGGCTGACAGGTTTAGCAAAGGCTTTTGACATTGTAAAGTCCACAAGAAGGGGAGTAGACGTGTTTTCATCGTGGCTTGTCGCCCCCCTCCACAGTATGTTGTAGATTGAGAATGTGCCATGGCTTTGTTGTCTCAAAGGGACATCTGCTGTTCGCAGGCAAATGTCTCTCTGCCATTGTTTCACTCAGCATTATACAATAGGTGCATGAGCGTTATTGGCCATATGGTTTAAGGAAATTTTCCACGAGCATCTTGCCAAAGGGCATTCCTTGATTTGTGGATTTGTCGAACATGAACGAAATGCTGCAAAATCAACTTGATCACAAAGGCAGTATTCTGCTGTTTCACGCAGCTTCATTCTGAGTCTTGTTTAACCATGCAAAATGGCTGTGTGCTAATAGCGTAAAGCTTGTTGAAGAAACAGAGCCAAATCCTGCAATGACAGTCTTGTAGCTGGCTCATAGCCAAATTAGAGTTAAATCAAAACCTATTCACATCATTATCATGCCAACTTTAATTGTCAACAATCAGATCAAATAATTCGCTTAGCGTCGCTGGTCTTATCAATGTCAAGATGGCGCGGAGCAACTAGCTCAATAATAAAAGTTCTCCTGCTCTTTTCTCAAGCAACTGGTACCGGCAGTACCCAACCCAACCCAACCCAATCCCCCTCTTCAATTTGCCAAACCAAACGCTGGTCCACCCCACCCACCCAAGAACGCATGGCTGGGGTCATACCTTGGGGCTCATTTAAATTCGTTGCATTGCACTTACCCACAATGCTCACTCTGTCACAATAGTTTGAATACAGAATGGCAGTGCGCAATGTGGCCATTTATATACCACCTGCTACTTGCTGATCTGTTGTTAGTTCATTTATTCGATAAATGTGGGTTGCTAAGAGCGGGATCGTGACAGCGGACATCTGGCATGCGCCCTTTCAGGAACTATTGTCTGCTGCAGCAGCTGTGAGCCAACTCGTTTGATTCGACTGTCGCACCATGGAATCATGGCACAGTGCTTTTCGCTCGTGTTGTGCTCAGGGAATGGCAAAGGCTTCCAGAGCACTGTCGCCTATTTCGGTTGTTGGAAGAGGGGACAGATTTTTAAAGCTTGCATGACAATGCTGCCTGCCTGTTCTTGGATCGACAGGTGTTTAAATACTTGTCTACGCATTCTGCGGGGCTAAGAAGTAGGGAACAAATTCAAAATATTTGCGAAGCACTGAAGGTGAGACAAACGATGAGTGGCAAAGAACTGACATGAGATACCAGAGAATGACACCACGAAATAAGTGAGCTAATCTGTCTCATGATTGGCTTGATTGGTGCATTTTTGTTTCTGTCCAGTTTGGAATGATGCTGTCGGACGTGCACACTGCGATGATGGCCACAATGACAGTCTTTTCCTAAGTTCTCATGTGCTAAATCGTGCCAAGGGTTGCAGTGCGCATGCAGCTTGATGTCCCCTATGCAGGGGCAGATGCGGTTGCCCTTGATGGCTCTTTGACCTCCTGGAATTGGCTTGCTTGTTGCCTGATGTCTCCTGCTCCGGGCCCTCAAGCATTTTCTTTGCATGAGTCACTGCCTCGACTCAGATTTAAATCAAATTTGGACGTGCAAAACATCATGGTTGCACCACATGAGACTATGGGCCTGCTGCACTTGACCATTAGCCTGTAGGATGGTTGAATGCTTCGAACACAAGAATGTAAAGGTCTGCAGATTCTCGCTTGTTCTTGATCCATGCGAAAGATCAACTCCTGTGTTGGTGCGTATGCTTGCATTGCAGCCCTTCGATCTAACGCAGCCTGAGATCCTGCAACTGGTGAACCTGAGGCCCACCAACATTGTGGAAATTCATCTAATTGTTCAGGAATGTGAGGCACGGTTGGACGAGGCAAGAATAGAGGAATTGCTGCTGATCGTTAAGCAACATTTGGGTCCTTAGGCTGTCCCCACTGATGTCCTGCCAAGGAATCGCAGATGCAAGGAATACTTGCGACATACTAGAAGCTGTCGTGTGGGTGATGCCCTCGCCCTGGGCGAGAGTCACGGGAACAATGTAGCAAAATGTGATATACTTCATGTTTGCTACAATCACCTCAAAATTCAATTTCTTCAATTGCAGAGGAGTGCTGAATACGGAGCTGGCTTGGGACAAAGCGTCCGTAGGTTCAATACCCAGTTCAGTTGCTTCGGCAATGCTGAATCGGGATGGTTGGCCCACTGGGCCACTTCCAATCGCTGGATTGCCTTGACGCGGTACAGTCACTGCCTGAATTCTTCCGCAAACACATCTTTCTCAAAAGTTGCTGTTTGGCCATCCGTGGTCCTTAACGATGAAGGGTATCATCCAAAGCGACACAGCGCACCGATGCAATTGTGGAAATGCACGACAAGGTTGCAGCAACTCTCTTCGGCAAGCCATGACGTAATTTAATAACGCAAAGACGTTGAAAATGGTCCTGGTCCACAGGCACAATCCGATGCCTCACGTGTTGTTGGCCCTTTGTGTGCTTGCACCCTTGAATCCCAGTGCTGTAAGAAGTGTGGCAACGGGCCAGGAGAGATGAGCGTTGTATTAGGCTGGTCCTTTTGTGCTCAGTACGCATGGATACTCATTGAGACCTCTTCCGCCGCACATCTGTGTGCATTGGAGGCTGTTGAAGTATAGCATAGTGAATCGCGGTCGATTTCATCTATGCTCTGTTCTTGCTTCATTTCTGCTTCGTGCGCTTCGTCCAAGAATTGATTTGATGGCTGAAGGATTGTCTGGTCGGCCGGTTGTCATTGGCAATGGCGTTGGATGATCTAGCGGAAGAACAACTGTTGGTTGAATCAAGAGTAGTGACAGTTGTTGTGCTTGAAAGGCACATTGGATTACGTGATGGAAGTGCGGCTGTCGGGTTGAATCATGAGTGCATTGACAACTGGAATGTGTGAAACGATTGATGGGAATGTACGATGCGTGGTTTGGCGTACAAAAGTTGGACATGGCAACATTGTAACAGATCCTTGTTGGTGCTGGCTTCCATGCTCTGAGTTCCACAAGGCTGCGTTCCGAACCGCCTGGCAAATCGCAGGCCCCAAACGCCAAAGGCGTGGCTTCCATGAGGCTGCGCGGTAGGGGATAGCTACTAGCAAGCGTGCGGACGCGGGCCCCGAACGTGGGGCATCTCCACACGCCGGCGCCTTACCAAGGCGCGCGGTGATGGGTCGACACGCCCCGTGGGGGCTGTGCGATCGCGGGCGGAGGACCCCGTGTGCCGGCGAGGGCGTTGGCGCGACGTGGGTTGACGGGGAGCGATGGGAGGCAAAGGGGGCGTCGAAGGAATTGCGAACCGTGGACGGGACTGCTGCGAGGCGGAGGTACTGCGGGTTCCTGCAGCGAGCGCGGGCTGCGAACAAAGGCCGAAAGGGGCCGATGTGCGGTCGCCGCTTCTCTGGCTGACTCCGGAGGGGAATCGGCTGTCATTCTGCGCGTGATGAGGCGTTCCTTTCAACAAGGTTGTAACGCATGTCTGGTCCCCGGCTGGATGTTGATATTACATGGCGGCGGTCCCACCGCCGGGGATGGTGCATCGCCATGGATGTTGATTTTGCTTTCCACCAATGTTCCCCCAATGCACCGCCGACATCCTTTCAAACATTCCAAACTCCTCCCCCCCTACCAGGGCAGCAAACGGATGATCATGACCCACTGCAAAATACAACGTTGGACGAAAATTGCCAGTTTCCCTCATGTCATCATCTTCAAAATCCATGGATTACATTTGTCACAAATGACAGAATACAACCCGTGCACTTGGTAGGCGATGAGGGGTGAAAATATGTTTCCTTCAAGTGATTCTGAGCAAAGGCAATCACCGCCCTGGAGAAAACATCGCCTAACTGAGCGAGGGTGCAAAGCACCGGTTCGCGCCTGGATCATGCAATATCCAAGCACCATGCAAGACGAGGCTTATTGTTTAGGCTTCTTTTGATGTATGTGAACATGGATGCCTTTGCACATGTGCATGGAGTTCTTGTGTTTGCGATAATGCATGCATGAGCATGGGTCACTATGCGCCCTTTGGACGTAGTGTGGAGGCGCGATCACAGAGGCAGGGGCAGGAAGGAGCTGCAGACGCCATCCAAGGCACGGGATGGCATGGCCGCCATGGCGTTCAGCAAGCATGACGCTGCAAACTAAAAATGGCATTCTGAATGTGGTGGTTGCTGCATGACTGAGGCACGGAGCAGGGTGGTTTTGAAGTGTCCTAGCACACAGGGGTTGTGAACATTTTTATTGGACGTGATTGGCGTGGGGGACGCCCTGCCCCAAATACAATAACAGTTCTCCAACCAGATTATATTATTATACGATATGGGAGTAGGTCAGGGTGGTCCCGCCTAGGTCCCCGTAAGGACCTAGGTGCCCGGCGAGGTGGGTTTGTGGCTCAAAGAGGGCAGAAGCCCCACACCCAAAATCTTCACGTATCATTTGGTTTTGGAGCCACCCACGGGTGGCCCACTCGCTTCGACTGCATGCGGAGGCTGGGACAACACCACGCAACTTTTTCCCCAGCCTCCTCCTCCATGGAGGCCGAGGAGTCAGATGATGTAGCTCGTGAAGACCAGGCCATTGAAAAGGTTGAATCCGCACCCCGAGAGGGAGAACTGGCAAAAGGAGCCGGTATAGGGGAAGCAACCCAAGAGGGCGAGGTTATGGAAGAAGCAGTCCGAGAGGACATAGCCTAAACTTCCGCAAGTCATGCGCAGGTGGAAGAGTAGGACCAGCCCATGGTTGAAGCTACATAAATTGAAGCGACGGCGGACCTTGAAGTGGTGGCCGCTCTTCTCCAAGCCCCAGGAGTAATGGCCCTCCTGGAGAAGATGGCGGTCTTGGCCGCCGCCAAGGCGCAAGAAACCCGCGAGTGGGAAACAACAGCCCGGGTCGCGAGATTGGAGATCGCCATGGCCTCTACACAAAAAGAGGCAAGGCAACACAAAGTTGCCTTGAAAAAGCAAAAAGCCAAAGCCGCAAGGCCGCTGCTGCTTAAGCCTCGGCAGAAGAGCAAGTGGTTGCGTTGAGCGACCATTTGTTGAAGCAAAAGGAGCGGGCATGCGAGGCAGAGGAAAATATCGTGTAGCCAACCAAGCAGCCTGAGAGGGCGCCCAGTCCGTTTGGGTCGAAGATGCCGACGATTTCGGAGGGGTTTGGAGAATGGAAGACGGTCGGCTGGTCCGAGGCGAAGAGGAAGTTTCCCCCATCCAGTCCTGGAGAAAGGCGGCCATCCCTGCGCTCCCCACGTCTGCGTGCAAGCTATTGTACCTTGGACAAAGGGTATTTGCTGCGGAAGCAAAGCGGTCACACGTCCGGCGCCCGAAACGCCGAGTCAGTCGGCGGAAGAGGGCCGGATTGAGCTAGTAGTCGTCCCTCACCCGGATCCACGACAGGCGATCCAGTATGACATTGTCCTCCAACCGAATGTAGTTCAAGTCGAGCAAAAGGTGATGTGCCGAACAAACTTGGTGAAGCTGGCGGAGGGGGTGGAGGAGCTGCTTGGAGTGGGCAGTTGACTAGTAGTTTGAGCCTCGAAGGAAGGCCATAGGAAGCAGCCGGAAAAAAGCTGCGTATGGCCCACTCCACCGCCTGCATTTCACGCACATTGATGTGCTTCAAGGAACGGTCCCAAAACCCCCTCGCGAGGAAGGGTGTGACGTGGCTGTTTGGGGTTAGGCAGTTATTGACATTTTCTAGAGCGAGAATTATGTAATTGGGTAAATGTACCTTTTGGGAGTGTTATTTAGAGCTTCCTGGTTCCAACGAGCTTTTAAACGCCCGATTCCGTTAAGAAACGGCGTGTTGTGTAAACTACTAGAGGGTAACCGGTTTACTCCAATTATTCACTGGGAAGCGATAATTGACATGAGATTGTACCTAGATGGGACGGAGGAGTCTATTAGCTTTCCATAGGTCTTTGGATCATCCCAAATGGGTTAGCGGTAGTGGAGTTATGGCTAGATAAAGTTGTAGTACTTAAGGACGGGCCCCTACCATACTCGGGGATGAGATACTATCGATATGGTACATTCGATACGCTGTTCTGTCGATTGTGTACCGCTGCGTGCAAGGGTCATGTGACCGACCCCGCACAACAGCCTGTAATTCCATTCGTGCCTACTCGCCTCCTTGCGGCTGCACCCGCAGGCCGCAAGGCGCCGCGCGCATCCATTGCGCGTACGGCCGCCCCGCGCTCAGCCAATCCGTAGGCCTGGGCCCACACTGCGCATCCGAAGACACGAGCGCCCTGCAAGGCCCGCCGGCCATCCGGCAGAGGGGGCCCCGCGGCCCCATCGGGCGCCTCGGCGGGCGCATCGCCCATGAACACACCGAAAACCACGCCACGGCAAAGATATGGCCTCTTGAAGTCATAGTACTTCGGGCCAGGGGGTCGGGTATTAGATGCTTGGAATTAGAGGCCATTAGGTCGATCGTAGGTGAATGGTGGACGGTGACAATGTGCCTGGACGCGCACTTGACTTATCTTGTCTTCATGTGACCGCGATGGACCCGCGATCGGGCATCCCGCATGCGATATGTGCGCCCGCATGCAGTGAATCCATGTAACATCCTTTGGCCCACTCTCTGGCCTACGGCGAGCCAGCGAACCACCACCGCGCTACGCCGCCACCTCTGGCCGACAGCAGGCCCCAAGGATCGATCCCCCATCGAGCATTGGGCCCACCACGCGACCACAGGAGCGACTGCCTCGATTACGCCCACCGTCCGAGGTGGAGAGGCCAGCCGACCTCCAATGGCTGAGCTGCAGGGCAGGGCGACCCCAGAGCCTCCGGAAACCAGCGGCTGCCGACGGGGCAGCAACAAGGGAGCAGGACTCACCCGGGGGAGCAAAGGTGGCCCCCCAACCGGTCAGACTGGCATCCATGGCTAGAGTGCCGGCA